ACAATTTTATTATATGTATGTATAGATATAAAAAGGTACATACATTCATTAAGTGAATAGTAGCTACTAAAAGTTCAATACTTACCATTAATACAATAGCCCCCACAAAAGCACCTGTGGTCAGAGGATACCGACACAGAAACTTATGAGGAGCAAACTTCTTCAACATATTTATAACTTTCATATGTATAAAAAATATATAAATACAAGACCAGAAATATGCTGTAAGACGAGAGTATGTGTTTTCATTTTGACTTTTAAAGCCATGTAGATTTATTTTTACAATATATGTATTGTTATTTTAAATAAACGGTTAGAACGTAGTTCCTAATTAAAAGTCGAAAGTTATTTCTAATCTGATATGGACTAAACTCCATATCGAATAGCTCGAAAAATCATCCGCTATATGTGTTTAATATGAAATAAGGCATTTCCGTACATTTTAACCATCCCTTTTTCACTATTATTCTGAAATTGAATTTCAAAACAGAATTCAATAATCGCCGACCGAATAGAACGAACATAAAGAAAAATATTTATGAATGAAGTGAGACGATGATATAATCTTTTTTTGTTTTCCTAACAAGAAATATCACAGCCAAGCCAAATATACTTCGTTCTCCTTTAATAACTGTTTTTCGATTTTATGTCATTATTTTATTCAAAATGGTTTCTTTTTTATAAAAACTATCTTTTTATATTATTTGGCAATCATAATTGCTGTTGAGATTGCTGTAAACCGGGAAGCCAAAAAAAAACTAAGTCGGGAACCAAAAATCGAAATAAATCCGCGAAATAATCCGAAAAGATAGTTTTATTTAAAACTAGCAGAACCCACGGCTTCGCTCGCGCTAAAACTAAAAAAAATCTATAAAAAAGTAGTTTCATACAAACATTCATCCCCTATTTTACCACCTTATAGGATGAATTTTGAAAAATGCTATAATGATATTTCCCGTGGGAATTAAGTAATCTCCCGCGATAAAAAGCCTATGTCACTCTCCAGCCCTCCAACAATCTCCACACACAAAATCACGCCAACCCGTTACTCCGTTTCATCGTGAAAGAAGGACAAACAAACAAATAAACAAACAAACACAGTTTCACGTTTATATTATTAGTATGGATGTCAAATATTGACGTAAGTCTAATAAGTTTCTTTTGTAAATTTCACCCACCTTCTTCTAATGAACGCGTCGAAATTTTGTAAACGTTTTGAAAATGAGATAAGCATGTTTCCGGAACTTTAAGCTAACTTATGGAACATGTAAGCTTCCACCAATAAACTATCACTAGTAGTGACCAATTACGTTTCTTAGTAGAAAAAAAATATCTTGCCATTGTTCAAAAACAATCTGATTAACTACCAAATTAATTTAACTTTTTATGTGAAAATATTTTTTTAAGGTTTTTAACAAGCGTATCACGTTTCAGAAAGGTTGTTATTGCAACCGCGCCTACATTATTATCAGTATTTATTTGGGAACCATACCCGGGATCTTTTCTGTGTAGAATTCATTATGGTACAGTCTAATTAATATATTACTTGATACATATATTATTTTAAACATTTATGCCTCTTCTAAATATTATGCCTATGCCTATGCTTAGTTAACTTTATAATTAAAACATATGTAGACTAATTTCATTAAAATTATGTTCACTGTCGATTACCATTTCAATAATAATAATATTCTAAGAATTTTATCTATACATATAATAAAATTCTAACTGATCTGAATCTGTACATTAAATATTTTTTGGAAAATCTTATTGAAATAGTCATTTTTATCTATTTTATTTTTCCATTTTTAGTGTAGACGTAATAAGCGGGTAATTGTAAGAAGAAAGTTTTTTTAATAACTTAACTAATTTATTTAAAAAAATATTTATTGTTGATTTTTAAAAAAGTGCTCGATCGATTTCGATAAAATTTAAATGGGACCACCTGGGAAGTATATCCTTCTAAAGAAAAAAATATTTCCAAATCGGTGCAGGCATCTTCGAGTAATCGGTGAACAAACATAAAAAAAAAGATTACGACGAATTGAGAACCTCTTACTTTTTGGGAGTCGGTTAACAAGATAGTTTTACTTATTTTAATAATCTCACACAGCTAACTTATATCTTTATTCAGCCGAACGGACGCAGTTTAACTCTATAGTATATATAATCATCTATATGTTTTTTTTATTCTTTTTTTAAGCGATTTTGATGAAATTTTCAGGTAATCTAGATTAGCCCAGCGGGTGATCCTGTGAATTTTGTTAGCGATCGGAAGTTTGGACGCGGGTGAAGCCGCGGCTACTGCTAACTGCTATATATATATATATCGCTCGTCGTCGTCGAGCCGGCCATCTAGCCGCTCATCGAGCCGCTCTTCGTCGTTTCTACTATATTCCTTCGTAAACTTGTTTTCATCTTTTTATCTTTTTAGTTAACTTTTATGCAGTCGGGTTTTATATTTTTTTAATATATTTATTTACATCTTTTTAAATATTTTTAATAAGGAAAATTAGCGAGAATGGTTGTTAACCAACTTTAAATCATTATATATCCTAAACTGTTATTTACAATGAAAAATGATGAAAGAAACCTAAAAATCATTTTTAATAAATAAATGTGGTTCTAAGTACCTAATACAGGGATAACCCTTTCCTTGCAGTCGGGTAATAAGCCTGCGGATGTGTTGTAAAAAATCTTCTATATTTCTTTCAAGGATCGTCTGCCGCTTTTAAATCCGGGACTGGATTTAACAATGGATTTGAAAAATTACATGATTCTATTCACGTGATCTTCCCTCTAATATTCAAACTTTGGTGTTGTTGGCACGCACACTTGCGTGTTGCTGTCTTATTTTCAGGTACTAGAGGCGCAAAGTAAGCCAAGTTCATACGAAACTATAAATATTTTATGAATGTAAATCATGCTGTTCAAAAGGAAAGGAAGAACATAACAAAAATATATTTGATTGAATATTTTATACGTTTTAAGACAAGGACTATTAGGGGGTGAATTTTATATTATACATATTTCGTATATAATCTATGTATATATGTAAATATGAAATACTGTTCAATTGTAAGTGCATTTAACAATGGCTAAGACGATTTGGCAAAGATTGAGGAAAAGAAATTGGAAAAGCTTGTATGTAACATTGGGAAATTCGGGAAAAACTAAAAGAGCTTTTTCTCTAAACTGAGAAACTGGACAGACCAACTTCAATATAACAATACAACATTTATTTTTTCAAAAAGCGTAATTTAAGAACAGCATCATTTTATTATACAGTTATTGCTTAGTATAGATTTTTCAGAGATAAGATATTTTCCCGCAATAAAAAGTATCCTATATGTTGACCCGGATAACCAGCTATCATCATAACAAATTTTATCAAAATCTGTTCAGTGATTTTCTCGTGCTGCGGTCACAGACAGACAGACAAACAGAACAAATTCTAAAAACTATACATTCGACCTCTGTATCGATAATAATAACTATTTCAGTAAGATTTTCCTAAAAATATTCAATGTACAGATTCGACTTAGTTAGAATTTTATTATATGTATAGATAGTCAACGTATCGCCGGGTCTTTTCAGTATCTCATTAAAAGCGTGTATATTGTATACATTAAATATACATACACTAGGTTAAACAAGCAAAAACAACTAAATTTTCTTAAACGACTTGAAAAATTGTTTGATTCTCATTAATTTTAATATACATCAAACAAAAGCTATCGTGACTCGTTACTTATGTATCTACAAGGGGCGATACTGCTTAGAATTGCTATAGAAACAGACACTTGACGACCGCCTTTTCGCATTCATTAGACTTCAAAAAACTATGCATCTCAAATATTATTGAACAATTTAACAGATATGTAGTAAGTATTTGTTTTAAATATTTTTTTATTGAATAAAATAAATATTTTATATTAGTGTTTATCAATCAATATTTTATAAAAAAGCAGGCATATTAAAATTTATTAATGGCCGCGACTTGAACTTTCAGAACTTAAAAGCTTATTCTTATCTCATAATAATTGCGAGTTTTGTGAGAACATTGACTTTTAGTTAGGCAAGCTTTACATAAAAATGAGGTGAGTTCTGATGAACTTTTATATGGTTATATATTTTAAAGCAGTGCATGTAAGTTTATATGATTGACGACGCGTTTGGCTCAGTTTGTAGTGACCCTACTTGCAGTGCCAGCGGTCGCGGGTTCGAATTACGCTGGGGGCTTTCATTTGTGTGTTGAGCACGAATGTTTATACTCCAGTTATGGTTGTTTATATTTATAATATGTATGTATTTAAAAGTTATATATGTGTAGTGTATCAACTATATGGTGTTGTGTATTAATGTCCCAAAATATTTATATTTATTTATTTATATGACTTTACAGTTAGAAAAGCGGATACTATCCACTTAAACTAGAAAATATATGTATTGTTACATACCTTAACTTATATGAATATACATACATATTCTATTTATCATACTAATATGTAAAACAGTAATAGTTGCTTTTGCGTTCAGCATTTTGTGTCCATAGTGTTAGTAGCATAGTCATCATATTTTTACATCTTTTAATTTAAAATATCTGTATTTATAATAATGAATTAAAATAAATGAATTGAAGAGGCAATAATAATGTGTTAAATAATAATTATTTATTAATTTCATTTATATTAATACGATGGCATTGATGGCAACATTCTTTTTTGATTATTAAAAATGTATGTGACACAACTGTCATATTGACAGCGTGTGAGAGTGCGAGTAACGGTCCGGTGTGTTATTTGATTATTGTAAATTTAAATTATTTAAATACATTAATAAACGAATGTGATATTTGGGTATTTCATTTAAAGTGCTATGGCAATAATAGCGTTCTAACTGCCAAGACTGAAAGTGCTTGTAAAATGATTATTTAAATTACATAATATGGTTATTTTAGGTAATTAATTCATATATTATTTAATAACAAATCAACAATGCTACAAATAAACGAAACATTCAATGTGAAATCACAGTTCCCATGCCAACGTGAAGCCAGATACGAAACGGTTTTGGAGCACGACCCAGAATGGAGAAAAACGATCGTCGGTTGCTTTGTACTGCATTTATTACAGGATATATATAAATTCAAGTAAGTATAAAGTCCCTACCAGAAGGGCATCACCTTGAAAAGTATCTATTCCCTAAGGGATGAAAATGTAATGATCGTTGAATAGAAAATTTGTGCCTGTGTGTGCGTGCGTGCGTGTGTGCGTGTGTGCGTGCGTGTGTGTGTGCGTGTGTGTGTGTGTGTGTGTGTGTGTGTGCGTGTGCGTGTGTGTGCGTGTGTGTCTGTGCGATAACATTATTTTTGGAAACTGTAAGCCTCAAAAAATAAAAGAACTGAGAAAATTATACATGATGTCTATATTACTTAAAAAAATATCTCTTTAATCTATATTACATAAGAAATATGTACGTGTACATCCCTATCTACAATTTAATCTACATTGATAAAGGTCTGACGGTATAATAAATGCTTTTATTTAAGTTAACGCATCGACTGGACATGTTTATTCTTCAGAGGTAGTCCCATATAAATTTCATTAAGGTCTGAGAGAATTTCGTATTGACCTCAATTTCAGACTACTCATACGGCATAATTGATATATCAAAAAATATCTAAGCCAATTTTTGAATTTTCTTACTTTGAAAATAATAGATTTTTAAATTATTCCGATTGTGTGCGTACACATATGTTTTGTGAATGGCTTTAAATAGAAAATGTAACAATTGACTTTAATACCTTTACTAATATTATAGTGCTGAAAATATTGCTCATTTATTTTATCTGTTGAACGTGATAATCTAAGTACTATTCAGATTTAAAAAAACCTCTTAAATTAAAAATGTAACAAAAACCCGACACAATAAATAACCTATTTATTTAGGCCATTTAAATGAGCCTAAACACGATATCTCTGCAGTAGTTAAGAGTATCTTGCAGATTCTAGGTGATGCTGCAGCATCAGGCCTAGGTTACTGTATCACTGCAATTTTATTAAAGTAACGGAAGTTCGGAGTTTTGACGGAGTCTCGAATCCGTTAGATATGTGGAAGTTGTTCATATTGTTTTACCGTCTAGAAAAGAACTGATAGCCAACAAACGGCTGAACGGATTTTTGCATTTATAGCTAAGAACACTCTCGATCAAGTCACCTCTCAAACAATAAAACTAAAGGAGAACGGGCATCTTTGTACGGGTTTCGTTCCCAGAGTAGAATAATATTTATAATAAAATTAAATGATTCACAGTTCTTCCATGCACGTGTCTTACTTTTTAACGTCATACAATAAAATAAAGCTATTATTACCTATTATTACCTTTAAAGTGATATGCATACTTTATGCTGTTTTAGACTTTCACGGGTTTCATAAAATTAAATGATTCGTGGTTCTTTCTCTGCACGAGTCTCATTGTTGGTCTCATATAATAAAATGAAACCATTCTTATGATCTTCAAAATGACATATACCTCAAGTTGATACACTCTGGGGAACGCCCATTGTCCTTTAAATTAGTTAATCCTTTTGGGCGCACCGATGCCACACATACATACACAGATACACACGTTACACTCACAACTCCCCTTTTTTGCGTCGGGGGTTAAAAACTGCATTTCATAACTTACTAATTTTTGCCTATGGCTCCACTCTTGTAGAAAGCGTGATTGGAATATAAAGTATGCAAAAACAAACAAAATAAATTTTCTTTGTGAAATATATCAATAGCACTCCCTGAAATCCATTACAATATCAATATTTTCCTACCTAAAATAACGTTTTGTTTGTATAATATGAATACGTAGTCGATTTTTTTAGAACCAGTCAAATGTTTTACAACGTGTTTCAGCATAACCTATCTGGTAAATGAATATACAAATGTAACGAGATCCGGACAGCAGGAAGCCATTTATCCGGGTAACAACGTCTCTGTGGACATTTACGTAAAGCCCACGGACCTGCAGTGTCCTAACCTGTTGGATACCGCATATCCCATACAGGCAATTTTAACGTGGAGGTGAGCTTAGTGTTTTTAGTGAATTAATTTATCGATTCATACGATTATTATTGGAAGATTAGTTATTATTTCGAAAACAACTTTAAAAATTGTAAAATGCGAACTGAAAATAAGAGAACAAGTTGACGAAGGAACACAATATTGTGCAGTCGGAGACATACATATGTATAATATACCTATATGTTTTAGAATAGCTGCGTGTGTGACACACTAGACACTGCCCATTGCGTTAATAGGTGCTAGTTCGATTTCCTTGGTTCTTGTAGAAGACTATTTGTATAAGAAAATGTTATATGTTAGATGTTGTTTGGTAAACATTTTTTTTTCTTAACTCTGACATTTGAAAAACGTCGAATGTTTATTTACGTTTTAGGAAATAAACGAATCTACGTTCGTATACTAACTTGTAGGTCTAATTCATAAAATAATTCAAAAAATAACGAGTTTCCATACAGACTTCCAACCTTTTTTCCACTCCGAAAGAATCGAAGTGAAAAGTGAATGAGTGAAAAGAATAATATAATATAAAATACTAGATACACTGCTACATCATAATTATTCCCTCCAGAACCGCGGACACGCCGGCGTGTCAGTTAACAATAGATTTCTTAGAATTTTAACTAATTTCTTAGAAACTTACCTGGAGGTGTTAAAGGGCAGTTCATATTTTACCAGATTTGGATTCATTCTGCGTCGTGAACACAAGAGTATGCTCAAAGCTTTCTACAGCCAACCATTTACATCCTCCGTGTGGATCTGCATATATACAACTATTCTATTGAGTGCATTAGTATTTTATATTTTAAGTCTGTGGGACCGAAGGCTGAATAGTACACTCGAATGTAGTTTTGGACATGAACTTTTATTAGCATTCTCTGCATTTTGTCAACACAGTGAGTATTTTTAGATTTTATAATTAACATATCGCTGTACCTATAAGTTAGAATTTATACTTAGGTACATTTTATTTATATAAACATTTCTTTATTAAGTTTAAAAATAAAAGCTACCGTAGCAAATATCTTTAAATGCTAACAAAAGGCTTAAGAATATTTTTTTATATATCAAAGTTCTATATAAAATTAAATTTAATAAAATTAGATGCCTGCCGGGTATTTATAGAAGCATTTTGTTGTTTGATCCCAAGTCGTTTGATGAAACTTCTAAATTAAATTGATACGACCTAGTTTTACTTTAATATGTTGAATATATTATGTAAATACAAGTAATAAGAACTCTGTATTATGTATATTCAAAATTATCTCATAAAAATAGCTAATGCTGCGGCTAAGCATATTTATTTCTTTTAACCAAATATGAGCACTAACTTATCCTCTCTATTGAGATCATCTCTATCTTGATCTAAGTAAGAGACTTAGGTGGGCTTTTAAAATTTCAAAGGAGTCTGGCGCAGAAATTATAACCATTCGTTATCTCCTAGATTGCGAGAACTTCGTTATAGAAAAATCCAATAACTGTTTTGTCCTAACCGATCTTGAACCCAGGATCCTTACGATATGTGGCTATATAAGCACCTAGTTTACCTAACCAGTGAATCAAACTCGCAACTACTAGAAGTATCTATTGATCTTCATTATTTTACAGTTCTTCCACTTCAGGCTGAATCATGTTCTAGACGGATAGCGTATCTAACTTTCATTATGTGTGCATATGTTGTACATTGTTTTTATACGTCGAACTTGCTCTCTCATCTTGTAAATGATGCCGACGTCGTAATGGACCTAGAGGCTCTGGTAAAGAGCGACTACAAAATTGCTTTATTAAAAGATATGAATCTTGCTACTGATAGAAAGGTACGATCAAATGATTTACATTATTAGTTACCATATTTATTGTCATTTTTGTAGCTATAATTTATTTATTTTTATTATAAAATTAAAGCTAAAATAATACTAGAATCAGTTTGACAGGACTAATTTGCCTATATGTCGAGTCCGTCCATTTTATATGCTTAATTATTCTTCGTGAAAGGTTAATTAGCAGTAACTAGAATAATAATATACCAGTGCCACCAGTTTTATTTCACAGCTTAAAAAAATGTCAATATGTTCGTTGCTTAGCAACCTCGTAATGACATTTAGCTTAAATACATTATAAAGACAGTTTTGATCATTCATTCATAGTTTTAATCCCACATTAAAGTTACCAAATTTTAAAATTACCGCTCAATCTCATTCGTGTCTTCCTCACAAAACGTGACACTGGCAGAATGGATTGCGTCTGTTAACGCAACTATAAGCCATTATAGAAAAAAAAAGACAGTTTTATGAACGGCATTGTTCAGAAAGACGTTCCAGTGACGGGATAACATAAATAGAATCTCAGTGTAAAAATAAATACTTTGATGCTTTTTTATCTATGTCGAACTTGGCATGTATTTAAATGTGAATGCAGCTTGCAATGTATTTTTTAAATATAATTTTATTTTTAAATTTATATATTTACTAATTATTTTTCTTCAAATACAAGTGAATTATATTTATTTATTAAATTTACAAATTATTTTATTAGTAAAGTATTATATGAAATTAACAACAATGTTTGTAATTAACTAGAACAAGTAAGACACATTACCGAATATCCAGGCAATGGAGATGACTAAAACAGATCATAAAACTTTACTAATTACGATAAATAAAAGTTCGATACATCAATGGAAGCTAAGTATTGTGAATTAAAAGCTTAAATCTGAATCAAGAGTGGATTGAAAAAAATATAATATTATATTATTATTTTACTTTATTAATTAATTTATTTATTTTATTATTAATATTATTTAAGTACCAGAGATGATAGATAAATTTAATTATCGTCCTTTATAAGTAAACTTCGTAGAAATTCTGTGATATGGCACGATCTATAAGTGTTTTTTTTTTAAATAGAATTTTCCAAGGTATTTTTAATTAAACAGACTTTTACGTTGTATTTAATGGACTCAAATTTCCCTAATGTTCGCTAGCTTAGCTATTTTTATTAATAAAAATTTTATTAGCTAACAAATTTTATTACAAAATATTTTTATACGAATATTATCATATTATAATGTTTCCAACTCATATTACGTAACTAATAATAATAACTAAAATCTCATTGAAATGAATTTTAAAGGTATGCGTACATATACATACGAACATACAGAGAATTATATATGGCCACGGCGGCTAATCTCAATGAGACCTAGCCATGTGCGCAGGAGATGTTATATATAGTGCACAACTATACGCACAAACACAACTGCATTCTCTATTCCTTCCTCCCTGAAACTACGATGGGTGAGAGATCAGATACAAGAGTGGCAGCTTGTTATACTCTGTGAAGTACTGGGCTAAAACACAGCAAACTTTCCTCTAGGCTGTCACTTGATAATTTCATACCATAAAAACCTATATATTGTACTTGACTCGACCCAGAACTCGAACCCAGGACCTCTTCATCTGCACATGCTAGCCGCTAAATCAATGTGGCAGATAACAGCCCGTAAATATGGATAATCTTTAATAAACTTATTGCTCAAAGAAAGTAAGAAACAGAAAAGCAAAAAAATAAACAGAATCTAGTTTCATATCTTCATAAGGTAGTTTTTTTTATGTTTATGTCCTTTTATTTTAGAAATATGAGGCAAGGATGGATAAAAATTTAAGCATTGTATGGGATAAAGTTCTTCAACTCACTGTAATGGACGTACCGACCGCCTTGGGAGCTGTAATGTATTCTAAAACGGCACTTTTGACTGATTATATTACTTTGTACCCTGTTTTAAAAAGAAGTAAGCTGAAAATATTTTCGCTTGTTTTTATTTTAAATTATACCGCATAGAATTGTGAAATAGATTAAAATAAATATGTATATCTCTAGTTATACAGTTATAGTTGACGACATGTTTGGCTCAGTTTGTTGTGACTTGTTGTGCCAGCGGTCACGGGTTCGCGCCCCGCTGTGGGCATTCATTTGTGTGATGAGCACGAATGTTTGTACTCCAATCATAGGTATTTATATTTATAATATGTATATATTTAAAGTTGTATCAACTATCTGGTATCCATAACACAAGCCTCGTAGCTTACCATGGAACTAGATGGTGCTATGTGTTAATGTCCCAACATATTTATTTATTTATTTATTTATATGAAATAAAATCAAACCAAAATCTAATATGATTTAATTAGCATATTTATTTGATTTATATTGTTTAGTATATGGGTAACCGAGACTCGCTCGGCGTAGGCGTTGGATCAGACAATGCAAGTACCACAAAGAACGAGATGGCGCTATACATATGTCAGCATGAGAAAAGAAAGAAAGAGCTACTAATGATAATTATTATTTATAAAAAAATGTTCCTTTTTTTTTGTGAAAATTGCGTTTTTTTTTTAAAGTTATATTTTATATAGATTTTAAAAACAAAACATTATCTATATAAAAAATTTGATCCAGATCGATATAACCCTTTTCGAGGTACACGAAATAAATTTATATTTAAACAAGAATTGCTCATTTAATATTATAAGATATTTGTTTCAGATTTTGAAATGGATGAAATATGTCAACTTGTCGAGATAGATCTCTACTCAAATGTTAAGAATTATTTTATTACGAATAGAATCTTTAAATATAAGGAAGAATTCAAAATTGGGTATTTATTACTTTTTTAATTATTTTAATTGACTTTTTAAGTATTAAGCACAGTGTAAAAATATGAAGATAATTTATTTCACAGTCCTCAAGCTATTGAGCAATTAATACATACATATACTTATCTATACTTCAATGGAATCTGTTATTATCTACTAGCGACTCACCCTCGCTTCGCTCGGGTTCGTCCATACTTACGTTTTAACGTTTAGTATAGAATTCTCGGAGGTGAGATATTTTCCCGCAGTAAAAAGTATCCTATATGTTGACCCGAATAACCAGCTATCATCATACCAAATTTCATCAAAATCTATCCAGTGGTTTTCCCGTGATGCGGTAACAGACAGACAAAAATTCAAAAAACTATAGATTCGGCCTCTGTATTGATAATAATGTCTATTTCAATTAGATTATCCAAAAAATATTTAATGTACAAATTCGGCTTAGTTAGAATTTTATTACATGTATAGATTTACCTTTCTATTTTTTTTTATTTCAGATCTCTACGTGCAAAGGAAGCTGGTCTTATAAAGCGTATATTGACTCTTGAGAAGTACAAATCGTTTGAATGCGCTCATGAGACGAATAACTACAAGGCCCAGTTCGAACATTTTGTAAACATTATAGCAGTATTACTTGCTGCTTACATACTGGCTGTAATTATTTTAATTGGGGAAAGGATTCATTATGAAAGGAATAGAGTATGGCCATATGTTAACTAGGAACTCTATAGTATAAAATTCTAAGAATCTTTGGTCAAACACAAAAATATCATAAATATTCCCTTTGTAAAAAAAATAAACATTTATGACTTTTATGAATAGCTTTAAGTAATATTATGTTTTAAAATATTAGTTTTTAAGATAAACAAAAAAATAAATAGTTTGTTGTTGTGGAGTGAGATGGTAGTAAATGTTAAAACAAAAAAATAAAGAATAATCTAGAATATTGAATTGGATTTGTATCCCATTTTATTTATACGATTCTATTTTTTAGTTTATTTAATATAGCAGTATTTTATAGATAACATAATTAGAATATTGTTTTTGTTCGATAATTATTTTTTTTAGTGAAGTCACTGAAGGTATTTTGAATGCAAATTAAATCCACATTAACTTAGTTTTCGTATTATAATAGTTTGAACTAAAAGTACAGCAAGATTGTTTTTTATAAATATATTTTTTTTTAACTTTTGCGATAGAGCAAAAACAAAAAGAACATTATATATGTACATATTTATATTCTACGAGACCCCCAAAATATTTTACACATTTCATTATTTGTCTAAGTCCGACAGTATAACATAATATGAAAAAAATGCCCATTACAGTTCAAATGATAAATATTTTTAAATATAGGGCATTAAGATGGACAAATGAACAAATAACGTGGGCTTAGAAATAAGGTATCGTCATCATCATTCAGATACAACGTAAAATGCCTTACATCATTTTGGACAAGTGCTGATACTCCTACAATGCTGGACTGATATTAACTAAACATAGCTAAGAACCACCGCAAGGAAACTGGCTTTCAAATGAAAAAAACCGAATCGAAATTGGTCCATCCCTTTGAGAGCTATGATGCCACAGACAGACACACAAACACAGACAGACAGAGTTCGACGTAAAACTTATACCACCCTTCTCTTTGCGTCGGGGGCTAAAAATACAAGTCGTTTAATTATAGTTTTATAGTAGCGGTTAGACCAATGAGATGGTGTCATGTAGAACATGCTCTATCCACTACATCTAATCTACACTATGTCTCGATTCTACTCGATCGGATTAAGTTGCTTCAACTTAATCTGATTTTGAGCTTATACTTGAATAATATTTTGAATTTTACATCGCTTTATCAATCAAATATCTTTTTTTTTTAACAATAAGGCCATTCAAATGTATTGTATTGCAGGATTTTAAACAAAATTTAAGCAAACCGTTTTCATTACCATTTGCTCGACAGATATTTTGATCATACGCATCTTAGTAGTTGACCATTTCATGAAATGATAGCCTTTCAACAGCAAAGTTCAACTTTTATTTACTTATTGAATTGTTTTAAATTTCAATTTTATTAGTTTATAGGATGTCTAACATCACCATCCAGTAAATAAAAGCGGAGTAATACATGAAAAAAAATTGCAGGCGGAACCACGGTGCAATGTTAGTATTTTTATAAAATGCCACAATTTCTCGAAATTTTATATCACGTTCACATGGCGGATACGTTGATTTTAGCCAATGTTTTAAATGCAGCATGTACGCTATCTTTTTAGGAATCTCACTGCAAAAAAAAATAATCAAGAAGCGATCACACAATTTTCATTAAATATATATTGCACTAGTGTGATTTGGCGATCATATTTTACGAGTAGGTACGTAACCAAAAGGAGATTTTATTTTGATATTTTGTTTACGGCCGCCAGTGGCTTTTGTATCTGTTGCGAAGTTTAAAATTATCATTTGCAAAGTTTAGAGTACTTTCATCGACTTCTTTCTTTTCCTTTAATTATTTCTTGATGTCCGGAAATAAACAACAAAAGAGCACGTTTTTTAAAGGTTACACACTTTCCTTGCAAAACATTTTCATACTTTATAAGAGTTCTTTAAGCAAGCAAATAAACCTATAACTATGCAACGTGTCGGCTGCAACGTGCTGCTGTTTTATATTATAATCACTTTCTATTCACCAAAAAGGTTACACCGACTTTTACCGAGGGGTAGATTCTTTATATTATATTTTTTGTAAAACAACCCTTGAGGTATATGACGTAAACTAATTCACAGTTCACGAAACCAAAATAATTCACTCAAATTGAGTACCTCATCCTTTTTTAACCGATTTCAAAAAGGAGGAGGTATTCGATTAGTATTTTTTTTTCAATTTACGATCAGATTTACGTGATTCTTCTTTAGTTTAGTAAAAGTTTAACATAGTTTGGCCCAGTAGTTTTTATTTTATGAAAAAAAATTATAAACAATTTTTGTTTACGTGGACGATGTAATTTTATTTTAGTTTGTGTACGGCTTTTTTAGGGGTTTTCATTAGGTTGATTATACAGGATGGAACAAATCGATGGGACATGGAAGAAAAGTACGTTAAATATTGAAGTTTTCAAGATTTACTCAAAGGAAAAATTACATTATTTTTAAAAATAATAATAACTGCATTTAATATTATTTTTAAAGAGGTGACCTGAACCGATAATCGAACCTGAAAATGAAAAAGGTAGACCGTCACTATTTCATCGAATTAATGCATAGAGTCTATGGTAAGGATGAAATGTCTCGAACGAAAATTGTATGTTACAATTAATCAAAACTGTTAAATCTTACAACTAGCACATATCGATCCTAAGTAACGTCACAACCTAAAATCCAGTTCTAACGACAGATACTATAATTGTAATTTATTTATACGTATAATAGAATTCTGGGTCGAATCTGTGCATTATTTTTTGTTTTGAAAATCTTATTGAAATACGTAGTCAAATTTCATCTAAATCGGTTCAGTAGATCCAGAGATTACCCCCTACAACGTCACAAACACACAAATTTTCCTCTTTATAATATTAGTATAGATTAAATTGGAGATAGTGTTTGAGTGAGATTCCCAAGCAGGGTTGATGTCAGGCAGGGCGGTCGGTCGTAAAACTTTTGCTAAAACCGATCAGCAGTATGGGAGACATACTGCGCCGGGTACAAGTTATTTGGGAAATGGGCAGGAGGATGATGAATGCTTGAGTGAGATAAATGCTATATTACTTGTAAATGTATAATTCCCATACATACCGTTTTAATGGGGTTTTCACTTTCAAAAGATTAGTTGATCAAAGTTTATTGTTAAAAAAAAATATTAATATTGTTATGACAGTTCCATTTCATCCACTGCATTTGGCCAGAATTTACTTCGCTATATAGCGAAAAATAGAAAAGACATAATAATATTATGTAGAATTTCGGTTATTCAGAGTTTAAATCCAAATAATTATTTAAAAAAAAGACAAGTGTAATTATGATTTATTTAATGAAATCATTTTTCTTCATCATCTTCAGCCACTTCCGGTTGGACCTAGTCCATATGGTGGCGACGAACCTGTGGTAAGGTAATAATTTCCTAAACCACCATCATTAGATTTAATACCCAAATATGTCACCTCATTTTTCTTACAGTTGCCATTTTGAAACATCGTCCAGTTTTCGCATTTACGCGCTGAAATAAAACCTTTTTTAATCTTTTTCATTTGGAAATGAAATAGAAAGAAAGCAAAGTAAATATATGAAAATACGTTCTCTTTCATTTTAAATAATAGCAAACTAAATTAAAATTATTATTCTTAATTAATTTGGACTTTTTTAAATTACACATAGAACAATTATGTGGCTTAAATATATTTTATTATATATTTTATTTTTTCTTTGTGGTTATAATTATAATAATGGCAACACTAAATATAGATTACTATTTAATAATTATAATATAATTATAATAATGACAACTAAAATTAAATAAATAATGTTCCATATTCAATTATAAAACTAATTAAAATTATAAAATTGTTTAAAGTTAAAAAATATTGTAAGGTACTTTGGTGTCATATTTCAATTTTGAATACATTTTATTTGTGGGTAGGGTGTCTGTGAAGGGTAATCTAAGAAAGTATTAATACCTTCTGTGTTGAAAATATCCATATTTATTATTTTATTAGATATGGTATTGCATATTTTCTAAAATATTTTTAATCTAAATATATATTCGCATGACGATTAACAATTTCCTTCATTATCACGATACACTCGTTTTTTTTCTGTTTAACCACCAAAATTAACACAAAATTAGAATTTATTTATTTACGCTATGATTTCTGTGTCCTATATGGTTTTATTTTTTCATTTAATAAACATATTTTTATCCGAATTATTGTTTCCAGTTACAAATGACCCCTTTTAAAGCTTGAAGCTTACTAAATGTGAACTAAAAAGCTCCACTGGTATGCATTATTTGAATTATTATTATTATAAGCCTGTAGTGTCCCACTGCAGGGCAAAGGCTTTCCTACTCTTCCTCCACTGCTCCCTATCTTTCGCCATATTAAACCACTCTCGTTGAAAAGAGTCCAACTTATCCCGCCATCTCCGTCTAGGCCAACTATATTTTCCCCCCCAACGTGCGTTCACCTTGTCGTGGTGGGGGGGGCTCAGTAGTGCCCGGCAATCCAACCGGGCGCGAAGCTAAGAAACGCACAGGGAGGTTGCCCACTTCGGTGGGCGGTGGGAGGTGGCCCTCTTCGGGGGGCGGTGTACCATGCGGGTTGCTCCTGGTACTTCTCTGATAGCAGAGTGGACTGTGGAGCAACCCCATGGTTGTGGTGGTCTGCTTCGGCAGACCTGCCGTCGGGGCGTCGTAGTTGAATGCGTAAGCGATCCTGCGACGCCCCATTAAGACGGGGGAAGGTTTTGTTGGGTTTTAGTGGGTAGTACTGGCTGTATTACGCCGGTGAGTCCCACACGTCGTGCGTAAATGCATTTCCTAACGTTAAAAAAAAAAAAAAGGCCAACTATATTTTATTTACCTGGAAAATTATCTGGGGAATTAATAGATTCCGAAAACATTTCCCAAGCTCTGCTATGGTCGCATGTGGAGAGAAAACAACCAGGTTGTGACATACCATTGTTTGGGTAAAAATCTTTGTGCCCTGGAACAAATTTTGTCATATGCGATTATGTGTTTGATAGTTTATTATTAACATAGATAAAATTAATTTATTAATAAGGGTGATTGTTTTTAATGTACCAAACTTCCTCATTTTTACCCGACTGCGGCGAAGCTCAAAGGAGGGCTATATTTGACTTGTATGTGTGTACGTATGTCCGACCCTATGTTCCCTTGTAATTACTAAACAGCTTAAACGTTTTGATGATTCATATGTCGTTCGATTCGTTTTGATAACACGATATGGTACCTACCTAGGTATACCTATTGGGTATATATCAATATCTATATAGATATCATTAAAAATCAAAATGGCGGATCTAAGGCGCTAGTTTGTGCCTCTTAAGGTATCAAAATATAGGTTTTTAAGAGATGATTACAAAAATATGTACAACTTATATGTTTCAAAGTAATTTGGGATAAGAAATTTTTAAATAAATCTAAAAGTGTCTAACTGAGCAACACTAAAAAGATGTAAATAAAAAATAATTTATAAAAATTAAAAACCTGACTGCGTAAAAAGCGAACTAAAAGATGAGAACAAGGTGACGAAGGAACATAGTAATAAGCAATCGGAGACATATATACATAATACATACATGTTTTATAATAACTGCGTGTGGTGTATCCGGCTGCATAATAAAATTGTAACTAAGCCGAATCTGTACATTAAATATTGTTGGAAAATCTTATTGAAATAAACATTATTATCGATACAGAGGCGGAATCTATAGCTTGTAGAATTTTTGTCTGTCTGTCTGTTACCGCATCACAGAAAAACCACCAGAGGGATTTTGATGAAATTTGGTACGGTGATAGCTGGTTATCCGGGTCATCATATAGGATACTTTTTACCGCGGTAAAATATCTTATTTCTGAGAAAAAATACAAAAACTGCAATGTAAGAGTATACTAATATATAAAACCTAAGAATTTGGTTTTTGGTCATCTGGACGCGGGTGGAGCCGCGGGCAATGCTAGTACTATTTATATATTCCTTCGTCAACTTTTTCTCATCTTTTTAGTTCGCTTCTTACGCAGTCGTTTTTTTTTATTATATAAATGTTTTACACTTACTAATTTGTTTTACCTCATAATTTTAATAAATAATTATAATTTATTATAATATCAAACATATATATTATATAGTATTCAATCATTAAAAATTGAATCGTTACCTACAGGCTCTTTCAGTCCTAACATGCCACCATTCGTGTGTATAACATCAACGTATTCAGCATCAGTCTTATCAAGTTTTGAATCAATATTAACATTACTGAAACACGGTCCAGCCGGATCTAGTCCAGTGATTCTGCTAAGAAGTTTACCTGTTTTTTCATAGACTTGCTTCCCAGCAATACCTGCAATATGAGCTCCTAGACTATGACCAACTAAACTTATTTTAGAGACATTAACACCATCTGCAACAAATATGGTAATATTATTATTAATTTAATGCTGTTACAGTATTTTATAGCGGATATAAGAAAGTTCTTATAATATTAAAAGATAAAATGAAATGTTGTGAATAACGTTTAGTATAAAATTTTACTTACTATTAACGATATCACTCAAATATGCTCCCAGACCTTCCCCCATAAACCTAACATAGGTTGATGATCGCATATACTCTAAATTAATCAATTTGCTTCCATCCAAAGCAAACACTTGCACATACTTTTTCTTCAGAAATTCTGGGGCGGCTCCCTGCACCATTAATCCATCAGAACTTTCCATAAATCCATGAATAAGGAAAACTATTGACGTAGCACTGTTCACAAGTCTTTTAAATATGTTGGTTTCGTTCATATTATATTTAATATTTCCTTTTTTGGTGATGTGAGCAATTTTCAAGAATTCGTTAAAATTTGTTGCATTTTTGTGTTGCATTTGTTCGTAGGATAAGCCAAAGAAACTTTTGACCGCCTCGCCTTCAATAAAACTCACAAAATTAATAATGAAATCGTCCAAACCGAATTTAAGTTATGCTGGCAGGCTGCTAGTGTATGCATAAACATAGACCTACTATCTTTTCTTTTCAATTTGTAGTCTAGTGGGACAACAAACTGACTTGACCAGTGAAAAACCAAGCGCAGAACAGAGACGTGTGATAACTTTTCTTAATCTGATCTGGTATTCTAGCATATAGTCTTAGAATTTGTAGTCATATATGCTTGCCTGGCAATAGACCAATACAAACAACAACGCAATGTTACCAATAACAGCTGTTCTATACAAAAATATTGATATGAAATTAAATTTTAAATTTGTGTACAGTTTAGTAAGTATATTTGCTAAGCACATTTATAAGTAATGTAAGCATATTAACATAAATAGGAAATTTTACTTAAGCTTCGAGATCTCAAGTCTACGATCCTGCTCAAATATTTGAAGAGGATCGTAAAGCGTTTATAATATATTATATAACGCAGATATTCTAGGTGAAAAAGAGGTTCTATGTTTTTTATATATTAGAAAAAGAACTTAGCAAGTTTAATAAAAAAAAAGAAATATTTATAGTACCTACTTGTATAATAGTGGTAGCCCAGTGGTAACGCGCTCGCTTGGGAAACCGAGTGAAGCGGGTTCAAATCCCGTGTCTCACACCTCTGATATTTTCATGTGCGAATCATTTCTAACATGATTACCACTTGCCTTACGGTTAAGGAAAAACATCGTGAGGAAACCTGCATGTCTGAGAAAACCTAGCAAGTTTTCGAAAGACATGTGAAGTTCGCCAACCCGCACTTGGCCAGCGTGGTGAACTATGGCCTGTTCCCCCTCGTACTGCAGGGAGGCCCGTGCCCAGCAGTGGGACGTTAAAAAAAGGCTGAATACTTGTATAATATAATAGTTCTAAGTATACAATATAAATGAAGATGAATTCTGACATACATATTTTCGTATCAATTAGTCAAAAATACGACTACGAGTTTTTAACCGTCATTTGGATCGTAGGTAATCGTAAGTCGAAAAAGAATAGCTTCTGTTTTAGTCAAGATTTTCTCTATTGTAAGTTACATTTAATCCCACTGAGCCGCTAGCCAGCATAAAGTAATAAACATACTCACTTACTCAAGTGCATTTATAATAATTATACATGCGAGTGTCAAAACTATATGCTATAAGTTTTCCTGCTGAATCGCAAAACAGATTTTTTGTGTAAAATACGAAACATCCTTTATATTCGTTTTGAAAATATATATCTATATATATAATATTTTTATTATATTTTATATGTACTATGCAATATTTTGGTATACCAAAATATGGTATAGAATTATATTACTCTTAAGGATTATTTTATATATACGTTATTATATTTCATAACCAATCAGACATACAGACAAAAACCAACTCCTTTTGACTTCGTCTTTAATGTCGGAACCTCGTCAGGACAAACGTATTTATTATATGTATGACAATAATTACCCATAAAAATTTAATACTTACATCTATTTGATCCAGCGACAACAATGGGATGCAATACGGGATCTATAATTGAGCTCACGCTGAAACTAGCCTTTTGATATGGAATACTTGTTGTGGATGCGGTAGCCAATAAGTTATATATACACAGGATTTGCAGATTTTGAACTGAAAATTGAAGAAAAAATGTATATTTTAAAGTAAAACTGTCTTTTCGGATTTTCTCGCTTTTGATTTTTAGGTCCCGACGTTTCCAATGTTTTACAGCGATCATGATCATGGGAGAGAACCCCATGATAAAAAAGATAGTTTTATTTTAAAATGTCAAATATTTACGTAAATCAAAGAAAGTATTATAAAAAATATATGTTAAACTCCTCCAGGCCGAATTTCGTTTACGGCGGCCAATCTCACTGAGACTGGTCAGGTTTGTACAAAATATCTCAAGCTACAGTTGGGGCTACAAATTCAAACTTATATTTTAAGTACTTGAGACAGTTTATAAGTATAAGATTATATAAACTAGTGCTCGCTTAGTAGTCGAATTGTTCGGCAAAGTGGTTGAATGAAAATTTGAGGAAAACATATATGAATTCAATTTACCTATCTATATAAAAAAAATGTTTACAAAATTTTGTTAAAGGTACTGAACTTGTACCTTTAACAAAGGTTAAGCTTTTTAGTTTGTTTTGTCTTTGCCTATTTATAATGATATAATGAGCATTTTAAATTCTTTTCTGATCAGAATATATGTACGCATTATATTCATTTCGAAATTCTACGGACAAAGGACATCTATTCTAGGACCGACAAAGCAAGGGTAAAGTTAACACTAACAGACACTATTGACTTTGTCTCAATCAGAATATGGAACGGCCTTCTCTCTACATGAACCGTAAATTAGTTTCTAATATATTTAGGATTAAAAACAAAGCAATTTTATTTTATGAAAGTATATTCTTAGCAATTTTTTCAATAGCTAATCTATTACTGCATATTTTTTTAATTTATTTTTTGTATGCGTATTAAAGATGACTTTTTCATTTATTTTGGCTAATGAAAATAAAATCTACGTATATGTATATATGTCAATGCTGACTATCTATTTAAAAAACTACCTTGATCTACTTCAAATACTAACAATCTATAACTAAGATATAAATAACAATTATTGATGTGAAACTTCTTTAGAATCGTTATGATTTGAAACTCCATGAAACGGAAATGTGACACTAAAAAGAGACAAACACATAAATATATAGGATTAAGCCGGCGAGAGAATGTAGATTATATAATGTAGAATACATTGCCATGTTGCCATAGTAACCATTGTTATTGTTTGACAAATATATATTTATGTCAAATAAAGTGTAAAATAACTTTTAAACTTGGTAAAAATATTATAATAAAATAAACCTCATAATAATTATCCTACTCCTGATATTCAATATTCACCTGAACTTTCACTTCCACCATGTGTGAATTGCACACACACGCACTTTTTTAAATTTTATTATATAAATAGGACTTAAAATCGTCGTGGCATTGTACCCATAAAATTAGCCGGTTTTATCGAAGTCAAATTAATATTTACCCTGATTTAAACAAAATAAACTAAACACTAATAATTCTCGTATCGTATTAAAGTTTTGTCTTTTGTATCTTCTGCATGAGAAACTATGTTGCTATGTTAAAAGGTCGCTTATGTAACTCGGCTGCTGAATTCGCGAACATACTTAAGAAACGCACCTGCTAAGAACAACATTGTTACTTAGTATTATAGCAATTTTGAAATTGAATTTAAAGTATATGAGGAAATTTATTACCATATTTAAATTATTTCTATACTTAGCTACAACGTTGTTTGTTGCAAGCGGTATGTTGAATAAAGTATGAATTCTTACTGAATTCAATTATCGCGTTGACATTTTAAACCATCCCTTTTAATTAAACAGATTATTTCATAAATAAAAATTGATTTTTAATAAATTTTAAGTTATTATATATGAACTAAATGTTAAATAAAGGCTTCCTATGATTACGAGACCAAGTCAAAAAAGTCGTAAAAATCGCAAAATTTTTACTGGAAAGAACAACGTGCATACATACGGAACAAGATTTAATAAAGACTTGTATAAAGAAAAACTCACGTGTCATTTCACCATACAATAAACAATGCACCATAGACACTATATCATTAAGCAAATTATTCTTCACTGGGTGTACTTGACGACGTACTCGTGCTATTGTTACATACGAAAACTTCAGACTTGGTAATAAATGTTAGTTGGTACAGAATATTTTATTTCCTTACATAAGAATCGTTGCTGGAAGAGATCTCACTAAGAGATACGTTATCCCCTACTACTAGTTTTGTTGAATATAAATTTTTCATGTTTTTTTTTTCATTTGATTTTAATATAGTTACCTTATGGGGAGTGGTACTTTCTTCTTAAAACAGGTAATCTAGCGCAATCTACAGCTCTACAGATCTCACCCAGTACTTAATTTTTTATATTTTTTTGCATATATATATATAGTAAACAAAGAAATGCATCTATAATATTTGTATGATCTTCTTTCAAATTATACTGTTTTATATTTTTCGAAGAAAGAACAGGCTCTGTATTCAAATATGTGTGAATTTAACTAAAACATATAAAAATTATTTTTTATCATATTTTTTAAAGAGGATATATGTATATACAAAGAAAATACTTTTTGCCAGAACTCTTTGACGGCGTAAGCAGAGCAACTCGCCAAAGTTTCATAACAATCTGATAAATGGTTTAGAAACCCATAGAGGACAAACATACATATGAAACATTCATTTTTATTTATATAGATTTACTTAGAATTTATATAGATTTATTGAGAAATGTGTTACGTTATATAGAAAAATATATTTGTAGCGTACTGAATTACGCTACGAATCTTAGAAGCGGGATGAGAAGCAAAAAATAATATATCCTAACCCTAAATAAATAAATAAAAATACTATAGTTCAAACATCACAAAGTGGCAGTGATTTCTATCTCCCGTATACTTAGTATTTAGTTCCGCTAGTTGTTTTGTTAACGGTCAGTGTGACCATACAATTGTGCATTATGACATGGCGAAATCTGAAACTCACATTGTTATATACGTAGTATAATTTATTTATTGTACTTTATTGACATAATTGAAAGGAATCAATTATTCATACATACGTATAATAACAATAAGGTGAGAGAATGGGTCTGTACGCAGATCGGAGTCGAAACAGCAATTTTTGGAGTAATTTACCGTCGGTACTCAATGATATAGATATAAAAGATGATAGTCTGTATTTAAACATAGCTATTTTAATGTGATATGCAGTTAGTTTATATGTAGTATTAAGCAATTTATTCTAGAAAATATAAAATTATTATTAATTTTACTATGTTAGTAGATATTTTTATCCGTCTGGATCGGCACTACCTTTGCATATTAAGTTGCTACGAGATTGTTTCTTAACCAAACCAATAAGTTTAAAATCAATATAAATCTAAGGCAATGGGGTACGCCAGTGGTAACTCGCTCGCTTGGGAAACCGAGTGAAGCAGGTTCAAATCCCGTATCTCGCACCTCTGATATTTTCATGTGCGAATCATTTCCAACAGGATTACCACTTATCTTACGGCGAAGGACAACATCTTGAGAAAACCTAACAAGTTTTCGAAAGACGTGTGAAGTCCGTCAATCCACACTTGGCCAGCGTGGTAGACTAAGGCCTCGTATTGAAGAGAAGCCCGTGCCCAGAAGTGGGCTAACAGGACTGTTGTCGTAATTAATAATACATACATTCATAAATCTAATATTTAAAAACAAGTTAAGAATTAATCTTCTAAAGTTAGCGGTCTATTGCCAATAAGTTAATCAAAGACGAAACGTTCAGTACTTCTTTCTCCTATGTTTGTTAAACTATTTTCTCTTTTTTTTGTTTAGTAGCTATTGACAGTCATTCATTATTTTTTATATAAATAGTTTAATTGTAGTTTGTACCTACACCGCACCTCATTATTATTTTTGTATTCTCTCACGTTTGAGGGTTTCTGGTAGAGATCTCTTAAAAAGATAAGTCATCCTTTGTACACATGGTATCTGTGTTTTTTTTCTGATACATAAATAAATAAATAAAAAAATAAAAAAAAATCTTTTCATAGGTATATGTTTTCGATCTCGATATTCTAATTTTTAACTAATGCAATTTAAAATACACGGATAAGAGGATCTTTTCGTAATTATAAGCTTAGAATATAATTCGTAATACAAAATGCAAAGATGGACAATATCATCTTGTCCATCAATGTATAAGAAATCAGAAGGAAGAATTTTCTCAAAAACTAATGTTAGTATTAAGATAAAAGGACAGTATTTCTATTTATATAAATTGCTAGATCATGCTATTATTAATATATTAAAAATTAGCGGTTCATCCTCGCTTTGCTCGGGTACAACTATAGATAAACAAATACAAATCTATCCCGCGGGAACCATATATTTTTCCGGGATAAAAAGTAGCCTATGTGCTATTCCAGTCTAAAATCTATCTCTGTGCTAAATTTCATCCTTCTAGCTTAGCCGTTCTGGCGCGAAAGAGTAACAAACATCCATACATACTCACAAACATTCACATTTGTAATATTTATATAGATATGATTGGATAGATTTTTAAAAATGATATAAGTGTTATAAAACAACTTTTTATTTAAGTCATTAATTCCTATTTTATATGCTTCACAGTCATAAGCATTATGTTACCCACTATAGTAAAGTAAATTGTCAGTTAAAATATTTATATTTCAGTTATATTTAATTATCCCAAATAAAATTATCCCAAAAAAAGAAATATAAGAAAAGTTAAGTGTGCGAAATTTTAAAATCTGTCTGCCCCACACTAGGATGGTTGGCGCTCTATGGGGAAGGCGTTAGTCTTTAAAAAAATCGATCGATATGTTAAACCTATTGCATTACCTATAAATATTACATTAATAAAAAAAAGTAAAAATATATTTTACAATAGCCTAGAATGTGACTTACATAGGCTACTTTTTATCTCGGAAGGGTGGACTACCCAACTGCGCAGGAGTATTATATTGCACAAGTGTACGCGCAGACACAAGTGAACTCTATTTTTTTACTATCAAATTGCAATGGGACTAAAATAATAATTTAGATATAATAATGATAATAATGAGCATATAATAATGACTCCATGATATTTTTATAACTCATGCCCTCGTTAAATAAGCACAAAATTCGCATTTCCCATTGAGTGGTAATGTAAAATCTTTAGGTGGAAACGGAAACGTTAGCAAATTCTTTCAGTATGTACTCATAATAATTTATATTGCTATTAATTTATCAAGTTTTTGACTTTGCCCTTTAAATTGTTCTGCGTAATTAGAATGAAAACTAGAATTTTACTAATTAAATTCCTTTTCAAACGTAAAACGAGTGTCTAGCACGAACGACATCGACGCAAATGCTGTTATTTATGTATTTTGTAAGGTCAACAGAAAAAAATAGTATTTTTTTTTACCAATAATTCAATCCCTTTAGTTTTCATTGCGCATTTTATTAAGGTTGACCTCCAACAAAAATGTTATTTAAAATAAAACATAATAAACTTTAAGAATGGTAAAAGAAAATTCCTTTTTATACTAAGCACTTAGTATTTGTACTAGTAGGTAATAGCTATTTTATATATATATATATATATATATATATATATTACTTCCGGCTAACAAATTAACATATCTCTTTTCATAATACCATCACTTATTGGGTGTATATTATATACATATACTATATACTAATTTGTTTGTTTAACCTTCTTTCACGTCGAAACGGAGTGACGGATTAGCATGATTTTTTGTACGGAGATAGTTGCAGGGCTGGAGAGTGACATTACCGCGAGAGATTATCTTATTCTCAGGGAAAATACGTTATAATACAACCCAAAAAAATATTTATGATCAGAATGAATTAGAACTTGGTATTAAGGCTTTTCAATACAATAAAATAAATACGTGTTTTTTGCATTTTCTAAAATTCGTCTCATAAGAGGGTAAAATAGGGGTTGAAAGTTTGTATGAAACCTACCCACCTACTTTACCTATAAAAAAATAAATAAAACAATACGTATATCAGATTCTTATGTGTCTGTATGTCTGCCTGTCTGTCTATCTGTCTGTTACCGCATCACAGAAAATCTACTAGAGGGATTTTGATGAAACTTGGTTGGTGATAGCTGGTTATCCGGGTCAACATATAGGATACTTTTTACCGCGGGAAAAGACAGACGGACAGATAGACGAAAATTCTAAAAATATATATTCGGCCTCTGTATTGATAATTTTGACTGTTTCAATAAGATTTTCCAAAAATTATTTAATTTGCAGATTCAACTCAGAATTATATATATAATATGTATGTAAATATTATGTATATTATATATACATATATATGTAAATATTATGTATAATTATATGTATATATGTACTTATCAAGTGCGCAGTACCGCCAGAATAAATTAGTCGCCTATAAAAACCATTATATCTAATGACGTTCTAGAAAATAACATGGCATTGTCATATAACCATTAGTTTCCATTATACAAGAATTATCAAATTATCGACTCATGGTAAAGTTATTAAATATGAATGAATTTAACTGTAATTTATATGATTAGGTTAATAATTGCTTATCGTCCAGATAATAAAATTAGAAAAATAAATATTTTTTTTTTTGTAATATAAATATGACTTCGCAGTTTGAACTTAACGTGTCAACCAACTTTACGAAAAGCTGCATGTATTTAAACTATAGCATAATGAAATACAGTCTTTTTTTCTGACCCCTCCAGTAGTTATCATGAGATAATTTAGTTATATGTTTTAGATTGACTTTATAAAAATACTTTGATACCAGTTCACTTTGGTTACTTTAGCGACCTGGTACTTCTTTGATAGCAGAGTGGACTGTTGGAGCAACCCCATGGTTGTTGTGGTCTGCTTCGGCAGACCTGCCATCAGGGTGTCGTGGTTGAGTGCGAAATTTTTTTCTCATAAAAGATTTTTCTCATTAAGACTAGGAAGGTTTTGTTCGGTTCTAGTGGGTAGTACTGGCTTTTCTAGCCGGTCAGTTCCACATGTGACATACCTGTATGTATACAGGTGGTATCCGTAAATGTGTTTCCCAACATATAAAAATTAAAATTATTACTTTAGCGAAGTGAGGCTGGCTTGTAAATTTCACTTTCTGACAGTGATAGCTTTTATCGACTGTATAGCACGTTTCCCTAAATTTAGATCTTAATTACTAAGGACTTACCTTACTTTACAAGGTGCGACAACCAAGTTTTGAAATAAAAACGCAAAATACATTTATTTTCTCGATTCTTAGAAGAATATAATATGTAAGCACTTTACTGAAAAAATGAATAGTCCACATCAGTTTATAAAAAATTACATCAAATTTTGCAATTATTTGACGCTCCTTGTTGGATATTTCTCTTGAAAATATACGATAACCATATTAAGGTATAACCAAAAAAATAAGGATCATGAATCTGACTATATAAATTACAAGTAGGGAAAATGTCACGTAACAAAAAAAAACATCCAAATTGAGTATACCTTTTACTTAATCAAAAACACTTACGTGGTCGTTCACTTAACACTTATGTTCGTATCATGAAGTCCGTAAGTAAGATAAGTCGTTACTTTTGAATATTGTTATTTTAAAACAGCGAATTACATTACAATTTAAGGCTTTAATATCTTGATTCGTTGAGTCTGAGAATAAAAGTACCTTATAATAGAAGCATATTACGAAGAGATATAATTTAATTACATCTCAGATATGTCATAAACATGTTATTTTAAATGCCATCAACGTGCAAATTATATACAAAATGAAGACAGTTACAAGTGTGGCATTGACAACCTTTAAGATATAAGCGTCCATTTAATGATTTTACTCGTTAATAAAAAAAAATATGGCTAAAAACATAATTTTAACCTTACGCCGCTATCTGTATCCTTATAGCTCCACTTAAACCCACTATCAGGTGTAACTAACTAGTAAAATTCACTTTTCTAGTTAACTTACTATTATCTCTCTCTCTCTCTCTCTCTCTCTCTCTCTCTCTCTCTCTCTCTCTCTCTCTCTCTCTCTATGTGTGTGTGTGTGTGCGTGCGTGTTTGTGTACATGTACGTTATTGTGTTCGTGCTGTATTTAGTTATCGTACTAAATATATTTCACTCAAACTGCTCGTAACTAACTTAATAATATTATTCCTTTAAAATCGAACCTACGATTAACGTAGTTAAAATTATTTAGTGAACTTTACAACTGTGCCACCTATCGGTCCTATTTAATTAAAATTGCACATAATTACCAATAACTGTTTACTGGCCTCTAAAAGGTATGAACCTTTTGCATTTTTTATTGCAAAATCTCATTTCATAAAGCGAAGACGTTTGTTTATAAGTTGCAAAGGGAAGCTTTTATCACCGTTTCAATTAGAATATTTTTCGTTTATTAAAACAAATAAATTATGACGGAAATAAAATTTTATATTAATGGAGAACAGTATGCAGGTATATTATTCTTACAATTTTACGTTTAATCATTTTAATATCCTCGACAGTGATGCGAAACACTTTCCTTTTATAGTCCAACAGATCTAATAGGCAAGTATATATACTGCTGATGGAACTTAAGATCAAGAAACATACACAGGAATCGAATCTGCAAACTCTACCGTGATAGGTTGTGCCATTCAGACAGTACGTAGCACCGATCATAACGAATTAAAATATAATATAGTGAGAATGGATGTTTTAGGTGGACCTAAAAAAGTACTAGGTAATAAGAAATCATTTAGTAGTAGTAGACGAAAAAACATTTCGGTGTTTAAAATGCGAGACACCTTTCTTTTATCGGTGAAAAATTTAATAAATTTTTAGTTGATGGCAAATATACTCCAGATTTTACTCTTAACGAATATATTAGATCAGTTGCGAATCTCTACGGAACTAAAGCTATGTGTTCTGAAGGCGGTTGTGGGGTCTGCGTGGTCAATGTAC